ATAGACAGAGAGAGTAAGAGAGCAATGTGAAGCTCTATGATATGATTACCTTATTCACGCCCACGCCTAAGGAAAAAATCTACGTCACTGCACACGAGCACCATGTCTGAGAAGACATGCGTACCCATCGGCAGCCATTGCACAAAGAAGGATCGAGCTACTGGGTGTCTAACGGTTTTTGCAAGCCTATTGCAGTCTCCATGCGGTCATTGCTTGACTTTTGGTCCTGATCCTTCCAAAGTCTCAAGAACTAACGGCTGGAAAAGGCATTTACTTTGCAAAGCAGAGTATTTCTAGAGCTTGTCTTGTTCTTTAACATGCTGATACGGCATGTCATATACAGCACGACTGTCGAACTACAAGAGTACTAGATTTTCGATTACGGTGACAACAAACTCAGCTAATGCCTTTATTCCTTGAATAGAAATACAATAGTTTGGTCCACGTCGATTATTTCTATGTAAGCTGCTTTGCTTTCCCTCGCAGTATTTCTGGGAGGATCTTAGCACACTTCTAAAGGTATTGTTAATTTGAGAGTACCTAAGAGGTCTTCATTCAGACCCCCAGCTTTTGACGCAAAACAGTCTGTATCGGTCATATATACCAACTTGCTCATTGCAGTAACAAGTGTGACATGTTATTGTTTGTTAGTGCTTAAACAGGAATCACCAGTTAAGTGCGAGTTAAGTAATCGCGGAAAGGTGTTTCTATTGAAAGAGAGGGAACAAGGTATCACTAACTCTTGGCTTTGGAGCGCCGCACAGCCAGCAAGCTCGCATGGCCTTTATAATATTAAAAGTATCACAGAAAGCACTGCGCCTAGTTTCTCAAAGAGATCCAGTGTACGCCTCCTATGGGCAGCTGTTTTCCTTTGTCGGCAACTGCTGTCCGACCTATTCGAATGAGTTCACTCACTGGACCAGCAGAAAATGCTACCAAGCTTCATCGTAGAGAAACCCTCGCTCTCTTTGCCAGCAACTGACTGAGATTATGCTACGAGGGCGGAAGCCCTAAGTTCAACAAAATCGAGAAGTTTTTCACTATTAACAAAACGTTACCCAGGCCAAGAAATTGATTCTTATCTGTCAATCAATTAGTCGCATTGGTCGCTTACGTCCAGCAAGGTTAGACACCTGGTAAAATATTGAAATACATTCTGATCAACAGCGATGGTGTAGTAGAGATGTATTTAAAATAAAATGAGCCGATTTTAACAAACCTGTCCTGATGGCTCCTGCAAAGTCTTTTATTGTGGCCTTAAATCGTTGAATGTGCTGAACTTCGAAATGGGGACATTTCTGCCGAGATTCGTGGCGAAACTCATAAAGATCTGGCAGGACATCACCCCATTCATCAATAGTAAAGTCAGCGCATGGCCACTTATTGGGCAAAGGAAAGATTACGGGATATTTTTGAGCAGTGAGGTAAGATTTCAGCGACATATCCTTAGCACAGCGTGACCTGAAACATGCGAAAATCCAAGCATAACGAATTATTTGTGCAATTCCGAAAAAATGTAAAGCATGGTACTCTAGAATGAGAGCTATTGTCAACGCCTACAACCGATTACCTGTTATTACGCCACTATGGACGGATTATAACTACTGCATTTATTTGTTCTCTATGTACGAAGCGACAAAAACCGAAGTAACATTTGATAGAACATATTTCTTGTGTGTCAGAAGCAGAGAGAAAACCTCGATAGCGCTTTTCTAGAGATAACTAAAAAGGACTTGAATAGATAATGACTTATCCTGTTTTTGGGATTTGAGACAAACTTGGTAAAATAGTTCACAATACGTTCGGTGACGACGTTATTGCATTGATTAGTGATTGGCATTCAGCGTGACAATAAAGCGATTGGGAAATAATCAATTCTATAATTTATCGACGTATATGGCTATGTCAAAGTGTTGCATGACTACACAAACTTAAGGCAACTTGCATATTGGTTTAGTCTTTACTGGAACAAATGCCTTATGCTAAAAGCGTATTAAAGCTTGTTGCGTTGACGATATTTCTAATCAGCCGTCGCTATACTACACCTGTTCTTGGTTCCCGCCTTTGATCCTGATCCGTTCTCTGTGGTTCTTATTTTCGAGTTAGAAATTTGACTTATTTTTTTATTCGTCTTAATAAATGAACTTACTCAAATCTTCGTTGTTCGATGTCACTCTTCAGCATAAAGATCGCAAGCGCTCCAATAACTACTTTGTGTTGGTATATTAGAATAACAAGCGCGCAGTTCGCTCCAGCGCGGCTAAAAGCGATGAATATACAGTTTATCTGAGCAGGTCTCTCAGTACCGTCTCATTGTGTGCGCTCTTTATCGTCTCTAAGTGGGTTGCGATTTACCCGTGAAAACAATCGAACAGCACGTACCACCCGCGCTGCCCTCTTACCGATCTATGCGAAGACGGTGCCATCAACTAGCGCCTGACACCGATTTGTACATTTGGCTTTTGGGTTGCTGATTAGTTAGAAGAAACAGGCCTGATCCAAAATGCAACTGTTATGGTAGGATTATCTATTAGTTGCTACACCATATTCAAATCAACGATTGGACTGCGGTGTGTAAAGCAGTGGTGCTGAAAACAACACATTGAACAAGAACGTTTTCGATTTTGCTGATACAGTGTAAACTTTTGTTGGATCGTGAAAAGAATTAGGAGTTTCCATGCGGACATTCTGTTCCATTCGACAGCTCAAACATTAAAAGAATACAGGACTAGGTTATATACATTACATACAATAGAGGTGGGAATGTGGAACGATGTAACTAAGGTTGGCAACTCCAGTGAAATATCAGTATCTTAAGGCGCCTACTTACCGCGTACGTAACGGTTTATGAGCTCAATAATTATTGTAAAAAATCACGGTTAGAGCCACTGCGAAATGGCGAAAAAGGAGCAGAATAACAAAACGACTACCGAAGATATTAACAACAACCCAACTGACTCGCCTCCGTGGGCTAATAGTCCGTACGCCAAATATAATTGGATGATGCGACCTTGTGAAGTTTATGAAGATGAGTATAACGACTGTATCTCGATGAGAGCCCGCTTACACCAAAAGTGAGCAATTTAGCTAAGCGTGATCTCCTCTGTTTGAATTAAATTCAAAATATATAAAACTTTGGAACACGTTTTATCTTTTTTATCCTAGCAAGTGGTTTATTTCGTTTATTAACGGTGATGTACAATTATTTGGGCTAACCTGCCTGTCATGTAGTACGAGATGATCCTTCATGATTAAACTTCTATAGTATTTTCATATATATATAATCCCTAGTTGGCGACTGTGGATTTTGCCCAATCCATGTGAATCCCTGAATAAACCAACGATGACGTTTCTCTCAAAGCCTACTTCTTGTTACCTGCTGTCCACTTTACAGGTTCATTTTTGGCGAATATGTCGATTGCAGCGACTGGAAATCGGATCGAGACAACTGCTTTAAATGGAGAACGAAAAAAGATCTTGTAGCTTTCGATAATGTTGTGAGGAGTGAACTACAAAGAAAGGTTTACTGGAGAAAAGGAGACTGCTTTCGAAATCATGGCAATGAATTATAGGCATCTAATAATATCAGTATTAATATCAGGTTAACACATCATCGCTTAGAATGTACTTAATAGCTTCCAGTTTTTAATTATATTAGGAAACCTTTTCGCGTTTTTAAATTTCAATCTCAGATTAAAACGTGCAGCATCGGTCTACAATATACTATATGTCAATATGTTATTCGATCGATCTACAATATGTTATTCTATCGGAATAGCGGAGGGAAATATCTTGAAATATCGTAGCTTAAATCCGTCGAATAAAACAGCTATAGGTAGTTATTGCTCACCTTTCTGATTATGGTAAAGAAAAACATGGACAGTGCATTGGGAATAATGCATTGATTACTATACGACAGAACCCCTTCTTTGACAGTATTTCCTTATTAACACTGTTCAATGGCTTTTATACAATACTGGACCCATAACAATTTCTGTAATATTGACAATAGTACTATTCGATTGCGTAGGCGGTAGCGCCAGGCGCCGGGAACGAGAAAGTCTCCCACTCTGATCCAGTTGGACGCATGTGAATTGATGCGGTCTAGTACTTACAAACAAATAAGTCAGCAAAGGAAATTCCAGAAATTTTAGAAAGGCATTTGCAGTGGCTTGCCTTCTGGGCATCGAGTGCATGACAAGCTGATTCTCAACCGGAAAGTGCACAGTATAGAATGAACATATTCATATCACGATTCCCCCGACATGTTCTTTAAATTCGTTTTCTATCCTTTCCTAACCAAATATATTTATACTGCTACTTATTTTATGTTTACCCGTACTGACACAAACAAAGCCTTCCTTTCGTTGAGTTTCCCGCATATATATTCGAGTGCTGTGCGACTTGTTAATAACTACGAAAAAAAAATAGAAACGTAATGATACCGTTCGTTACGTTCTAGGTGAAGCGGAACTTAGCGACGCTTGCGACATCTTCTGTATGGGAATTTCGCGAGACACCGCCTTCACAGGAAGAATGGTGCCCAGAGTTGCCTTCGTTCCTCAAAGAGAAAATGGAAAAGTCCACGCTTGGAGAATTACATTTTGAGAAGAAACGGTCGTGTATAATACTGTGAGCTTTCCCTTGTTATCATTAAATCGGCGACTGGAAGATAATGTGGTAGAAAAGCTGGTCTCTGACCTTTAGAATTGAAATTACTTTTGAAAGTTAGTTTTAGACACTAGACATTGTATCACGCATTATATATTTTGCATTGTATATCAGTCAGACACGCGGGGGTGAACGGCAGACATCTTTCAATTATAGTATCGCAATAGGATGTAGATGAAAAATATAAAATAAAATAGGCGTGTTAAAAATGGAAGGGACAAATAATAAACTTTGAAAATATATATAAACAAAATGTACGTGCCAATTACTAAGTTTTTTTGTACAGTAAAGGTAAAATTATATACATGCTACTTTTTATCACATGTTTCTTCGTTGGAGTTAGTTTTTACTCATGAGGTTTTATGGGCACTCTTACTTGCAAAAACAGTCGTAAAACAAGGTGCGTTTTTCAAAAGTGAATAAGGTCAAACCTAAACAAACTATAAGTGTAATTAATGCATTGTCTGGCTGTCAACCGACCAGTCTTTATATATTTAGGTCACAATACGCTATCGTTCCAAAGTTCATAACACAATATCTCCAAGAAATGTGTTGGTTATCGTTACAGCTTCGACGAATTGGGGTAAATCTCTGTCAATATTATCATAATGGTCATGCTACGTATCCTGGGCTAGAGCGGCTTTTGGATATGGTTAAAATCCAGTATTTTAGTTTCATTTCTGAATTAAAGTTCCCTTTTCGCTCGGCAGTTTAATGACGAACCGTTTGGTTGGTTAGTAGTAGGCAAGGGACGCCAGTTTCAGAAATACAGAGAGGATCTGCGCTGATATCACTAACAGTAAGAATAGCTTTAGCATAACAGAAGACCTATTTAACCTGAATGACTGTTTCTCATACTCAAGTCTAGTTTTTATTGAAAATTGTTCTACGTCTAGAAATGCATACTGTATATATGTGCCTGTTTCCAGACTCAAATTTGCGACTTTTTAGGCCTTTTTTAGTCTTTTTTTCGTTTTAGAATGCCTCAGGGCCTCTAGCTCCAGATAGTCTTTGGACACTATTACGTAAGCCGTCAGGTAGGCGCTGCTTCGTCACTACTCAACCTTTATATATGTCTTCCCAATTTTGTATCACCATTTCCTTACTGTGGAGATACGTTTTCATGGATAATATCTCTCTGAAATTGTTTTGCGCGTATGTCCAGATCTGAACACGCGACTTACGCAAACTAGTTATTCTTTTGCAGCAATAAACGGTGTTCTGTCGATATCGAAGAAAAGGTAAATTATATTTCTGCGCTAGTCATCACAGGCTATAGTTTTGATTTGCATGTACTCCGAAGCAGTCATGATACCGACGCTGAAAGACTCGCTATCAGAAACGACTATAAATTTACGCGGTATGTTTATATATATTCCGTAAATGTGTACCTACGATATGTAAATTAAGATATCACGTTTTGCCTAGTCCGCGAGCAGCAAATAAGGAGGCAAATTTAACGCTTTTAAACAATCAAAAATAACGGTGTCATACTGAAGGGCAGCATTCGGGAGATATAATTTTATCGGGATCTTTCAACATTGCCTCCATATTGGCGCGTAAATCTCATAATAAATTCTATACCTATTCCGAAAGAGTTCCGCGTTTTCCTCACACATAATATTGACCTCGTATTATATAAAAATATCTCAAGATTAGATTGGGCCTTTGTTTATTCACTTTCTCATTGATCTTACGGATAACTTGGCATTGCGCCATACACTTCTAGAGAAAAGGAGAAAAACAACAGTCATTTAAATAGGTAAAGCCCTAAATGCTTTCATAGTAAGAGTATCAATGATTCTGCATGGCGTGCTGGTTTTGTCTCGTCGAATTTACCTCAGCTTCAGATGGTGGAGGGACGAAGGAAATTGTTCCGTGGCTCGTCTGCTTAGCGCTAAGTCTACATAGAGTTTCGGACCATTACAGACCCGTGCTATGACTAGAGCTGGCTAAGCTAAGCCGCTGAACATACGTGGGTTTGGTGGGCGAGAGCGCCCGTTCTGTTCAGGTCGAGAGGGACTTGCCGATCTAGCAAGTGGCCGTCAGACGGCGAAAATCTTTGTTTCGAGAGAATCTGTAGACTTGATTAGGCCGAGAGCAGTACTGCAACGAACGTAAGTCTTCGCTGTGTCCGCGCAGGTCCTTCAGTGCACTAACCCTTGTAATTCACTACATTCTATGCAGATACGTAGTACCTAGCTCCGACTCAACAGTGGAGCATGGGCGATTGCGCCAATGAGAACAATGTCGTATTCAAATTTGCCAATAATGATATGTTATACTGCTACCTGGTGGGACGAATATATTTTGATCTTTAGAAAGCCACTTTTTTGATAATATCTAAGAAAGTCTTTTTATATGCAACGAGTCCCGAGTTTAGGTTATTTTAGTTTGGTAAGTGCGGTGCAAGGTCATCTCAAAAAAAATCTACGTCCTGCAAGTGTTTGCTTGTTAGGAAAAATGCTTGATGAAAAGCGCTGTGTCTATTTGCTGGTTTCTAATATTTTTGTGTGGATTGATGGTTTTATATTGTTCGAATTGAGATTTGTGTTAGAATGTGTGTTTCCTTAATGATAATAATATCTTTGGGTCACGAGCCGTCAAAAAAAACTAATCGTATTGAAACTTTATTAGCTTATTATCAATATGTGAGACATTCTCAATAACTCCGCTTTATTTACAGTATGTAGTAATATGGCAATAAAGAGGGTAAGCATACAAATCAGAGAACCGATTCAGAAACCGATTTTTTCCTTTCATCTTCTAGTATATACACAGACTTGAAGACCTTAACAAACGAAGGGTCATGCAATCAGTAGTATAGTCTTTGTTAAGTGGCAATCCTGCCTTAAGCAGCTCTTTAGAGGGACATTCAACTATATGCATAAAGCCATACGATAATGCTTTGAGTAGACGTCTGAGACTTTGAACGGGCGCTGATAGGAGCAAACGAATGTTGCTCTCTTTATATCCGTGTTTTGAACTGAACCTTCGATAAAAATGGTCATAATTTATTTCATACTAAATTTTTACGACCAAAGTTGGCGTACTTTACTCTCTTTAATTTTTACTTTCGACGTAACCGGTCGTTTGGTAAATCAAATATACCTACAATAGTTTACCAGAATATTTTAACCATGAGACTCCATTAAAGATCACGGGTTTAATTATCATATCCATCATCTCTGAAGTAGCTATCAGTGTTCTGACCAAGATTATTCTTAAGTAGCGACGAAAATTTCTTCTCCAACAAGATTCGAACTAAGCATTCGGGCTAAGAAGGTGTTTTATACTTCCGAAACACTGTATCGAACTCTGTCGAGGAGTTATTAAGACGGCAAGCTATAATATGATTTTTTATAGTTCATAACAAGCAGTATCTACAGTTGACCCACCCGAAGGAAAAAATAACACCCGATTGTTGTTGTAAAGTGAGCAAATGGACTCACATTCCTTTACATCATCGTACAACGTAAAGTTAACACTCTTTATTTGAATTCAATCATAAAAAAAAAATTGAAATATACATTAATGTTTTAATATGCTTTATTACTTATAATGCTTACTTCTACGTATGTATACAATAATATAGCTGAAAAAGTATTCTTTATTTGCCATTACTAAAATCGTCTGATTTGCACACGTCTATTACGCTTCTACAGAGAGACGGTATTTATTAAACACACGTTAATAATAAATGTACATTTATGGACATATTTGTACAGTTATGACTTTTATTCAATTCCGTCTTATCATCTGCAGTACCAAAATGTACGATAAACGTCGTTCGAGGACATACCGGGTGAACTACGAGATTGGCAATTCGCTGTACTCGAAACAAATCGCAAACCTGAATGCCCGCACAGGATCCATATCTACAAGGTAAAAGTCTGCCCTGTTCTTTATAAAGTCGGGAAGCTATATAGAAGAATATGCGCAGTGTGTCTTATTATATCAGCACAAAAGTAATTGGCGCACAAAACGTACAGTGACAAAATTCTTCACTAATGAGGCGTAAATATGAGTGTTTTCGCTATATTTCCGAATTTCTCATCAATGTATCAAATAGAAGAGTTGAAAAAATAGCGTTGACGGGCATAGGTTGTTACTGTTTAATGAGTGCAGTGCTCTTTATAGCATATATTGTATGCTGAATCATTTAGCTTCGTTAATCCTCATTGGAGCACGCGTGATGATTTGTACATCCATGAGAGCATCTATGGTAAACGAAGTCGCGATCTTCTTCGAAACGATTGGCGGCATACGGCACATTTTCACGACCGCATAGTTCAGGACGCCATGCCCAAAGAAGATTTCTCCAAGTAAGTTTGTTTCTCTCGATTTCTAGATATATTTGTATGTTATGGCAGGGTTCAAACTGCCACGCGAGGCACACACAAATCGACATCAATGAATTGCATGGTAATATATTTCACAACCGAAGGACAATGCAAATTTAGATCAAGTATCGCAGATCTCCCAAAAGATTAATGTTTACCGTCAGTCTGTGAATAGATATAACCGAATCACGATAAGTACAGCAGCCTTAGCGAACGTCGGCTTTGCCAACAAACATAATATATACCAGCTCTAATTAGTTGATTTGATGCTTAATGATATTGGTTGCCTATAGAACTGTATTTCCTATTTTCTAATACATCCAGTTTAACTTAATTGATCACACCTCCGAAACGCAGATATTGGAAACTTGATGGAACCTACTGGCGTCGTTTGTGGCCATCGACGGATTCGTTTGGCAGAACACATGCCGGAGAAACGGTTCGCTGGGTAGAGCAGACCCGAACTCGCGAAAAGCACATTGAATGGCAAAAACAACGGGAGCGGGAACGCCGGGACAAGCTGCGCGAAATTTATGCCCCAGAACGACCAGACACACTCTATGGACTCAAACGACATTTTAGCGTTAAGTGGTAGCACTGTCTTCGGGCTTGTCGGCGCATGCAAAGGCGGTCTATGTGAATGCGCCTTACGGGCCTACGCTACTACTACACTACGAAAACTGACAATCACAGACGACGCTTCATAGTTTCATTTCTTTTACAAGGGCATGTCCTATTATCATAATAAGAAAATGTCCCCCGAAACAGGGTTTACTAGTAGATGATGACAAATAATATAGCCTCCACCGTTGATTATCTACCACCATTATCCAAAAATTAACATTGGTATACAAACAAGTGAAAGAGTTCAGAAATCTGAATTCAGTATAGGGCATCTCTGACTTTCATCTAACGAACAAGTATAGTATTGAGAGGTGAGAACAAAGCCGAAAACCTAACAGCACTTATTAACCTTCAAGAAGACCTGAAGTAATAAACGTCGTTTTGGAAAGGCAAGTTTCATCCTTATAGGTATATCTAGTGTGAGAATCATATGCGCTGGAATGATATTTACAATGCTAGCCAATGGACAAGTACGCAAATCTCACTACCTACCAATTCCTGTTTCATCTGGTAAATTTTGACTGTGGATTTACCATTTTTCCGACAACAGTGTCTTTTTTCCTTAATGGCACTGAAATATTTTGCGGTTCTCTGCCATGTGATGCCTATTTGTCATTATTTTAAAATTCCAAAAAGGAGTTCTCTGTCACCTCTGTCTCAGTAACGCCAAGTAGTACTAAAGAATCGCCAAGAACCAACTTCTTGCACCATTTCTTTTTATAAAATGGGCGAAAATCTTATTCTTTGATCCCTGCCCTCCCGCAATGCACTAGGCTAATTAACTAAACAGATTTCAATTATAAATTAGATTATAAGGAGGATAATAAATACAAAAGTGAGGCTTCCAATTGTAGATGTTATCGTTTATTCTTATGCGGACAACATTAAATATTGCTAATAACCTAATCTCCTATATGTACAATAGTCCACATATACTACGCCGACCTCCTTCGTTTATCAAGAGTAAACTCTTGTATAAAATCGCAAAAGTTGACGGGAATCCATCGTATCGAGACTCGTAGCCTCGAAATGGTGATCTACTTAATCCGTCGCCGGAGTTCCCGAAAAATTTGTTCCCAATTAACGTGTTCCAGTTTGGCTTTACCTTTAAAATACACATAAACGGTCATCCTCGCCGCAGTCCGCAAAGGTCCCCAATTGGCCAGCTGAGGAAAGAAAGACCTCAACTTGACATGTTATGCGTACAGCAAAAATAGGTATGCATAACCACAGTAATTATTTCAACAAATAGATCAGGTATTTGTATGATCGATGGACATATTAGCCTTATATTAAAGTAACAATTTGCTATGGTAACATGGTAGGTTATCTGACAAGGGTTGTTATTGTCTGCATTTAGTTCAGAGTGTAAAGATCACAAAGAGAATCACAAAAAAAAGTATTCTTTGTCAACTTTTGTATCACTTGTTTGATACAAAAAATGAATCGGGTAGATGACTGAAAAACAACAATATTTTAAAATGTGAACAGATAGGACACCGTCAATGAAACCAAATCATACCTTTTCAATGAGTTGCTCGTTGTTGACTAAGTAGTGCGCAAGAAGCCGTCGGAGCATTATCCTGAGGAAAGAGTAATACCATATAGTGAGAAACGTCTCGACTGCGCATGGCGCATTGCTTCCATGACATCAGTCGATGTTCGTGTCAACTAAGGCGTCTTCAATGAAAACTTCGAAGTTCGACCATTCAGCGACAAGATCATGTCTCAACTAGGGAAAATTTTGCGTGGCTTGAATTTTCTTTTTTGAAAATGAAACAAAAATACTACGAGGTTGCAACAATATGTCGAATATTAGCTATATTGAGACCCGACTATTCTTATGTTCAAGAACGATGCCCATTCCGTCCGTAGTATGACTCACAACCAATAATCACCAAAAAGAAAACAGTAGACCTTAGTTCCAACATCATAGATATTTAATATCAATGTACAGATTAATATTAGATGTTTAGGAAGTATATAGCTTGCGAAAGACGATTCCAAACTCCACCTAACTTCGTTTTCTTCGAATCTTTACACTGTAGTCAGGAAGTCTTACAAACTCCATACACGACGTAGCTCTTAGAAAAAGCAAGGATGTACGATATTCACCATGAAATCAACGATCTTAGTTTTACGAAATTATTACAACTGCAGCATGTGAGCGAGTTCTGCTCTATCGGATCCCCATTGTCCTCTGCATTTGCTCTCCGATAAGTTCACTACCCTGTATCGAGGCCACGCCAGGGTTGAACACCGAATATGCACTTACTTCGTTCAGTTTCCTCTGACGAAGTCCAAACTTCCAAAGTGTGTACAGTAAGGATAACACAAAATATACAGCGCCGAACTCAAATACGATTGAGGTAAAGAAAAGAATCGCCCATATTACGAGATAGATAACGAGTACGCGCTTATCCGCCCTCACAAAGTCATTGTACAAAGTATCCTCGACCTCACCGACGGTTTGCAATGAACGGATGGAACTAAGCCAAACTTGGTCTGGTGCACTGGCTCTTCCTGGAGTGTTATTGGTATTGATCTGTTTGGGGGATGGAGCTGTCTTCGAAGGCGCCGGTGGTGGTTCGTGAGTTTTGCGAAAGGTGGCCAACCGTTCCTCAAGAGAGACTGACATTTTCGGAGAGGAGCACAAGATGTTAGCGTTGTGGATCCAGCGGTTCAGCTCATCTACCACCCTTGGCTAATCTAAGTATCGTCGCGAACTATCGTCCTTCGCGATTCTTGTAATATTGTTGAATTTGTTGTTAACCAGTAAACGAAGAAATTATCAGAAAAGCTTGAACTGCAATCAGCTGCCCCAAAGATCACCTGACAATTCCTTTGAATAGGCTATTAATATATAGAAACATGCTGCCATTATATTTTGTGTGGCGCAGTATCTGAGGTATGTCACACAAGATAAAAAGTCCGATATTGAATACAATTGAGCCTTCGTGGCTTTCGGAAAAATACTTTTTGCGTATCAACAAATGCCGACTTCAATTTTGTCAACACATGATATCTGTTCTATGATGGTCGCCATGTTGAATTTTCGGCTAGGATCCGATTCGTAGCAAATAGAGCATTGTTAGCTAGGTAAACGGTGTTACAGGACATTAATATTGGAGAAAAAGACGATAATGAGATTCGTCTCTTGAAGAAACTTACCTGATTGTAGATTTTTTTGAGTCTCCTTTATAACCACCACTTCACTAAGGTTTTCGAGAGAATAGATGACCCAATGTAACTCTAAAACGTAACTGATGTATCGATTACAATTGACCTGATTTTTTAAAATATTTTTTGTTTTTATTATTTTCAGATATTCTGAATTATTTAAGATATTTTAGATAAATGCGTGGACGAAAGTTTGAAGAAACGGACTGATATTTCCTGCTAGAATCATTTTCATGAACAGATCTTATTGGCTACTCCCTTACCAGAATACCGACCCAGACACACGCGGGTTTTCATGTGTCCTGGCTTCGCCTCCGCGCACAAAATCAAAACATTCCATTAGTGAACATGTTGATGGAGTGTCGGTCTATTATTGTAAGCAAGGCCGTTATCGCGTGAAAGCATTTTCGATTTCTAAACGTTGCTTGCCCTCCCACGATAAAGTGTTTAGTCGCTTAACATTTACCAGAAAACGCCCTTAAGGTAAGTGGCTGAAAATGTTCATCCATGCCATTGTTTTCCATACGTAAACGAAGTTATGACGCGCATTAACCCTGACTGTATGTTTATGTGTACTTCGTACAAACCTGTCTGCCTAGTAATTCTTACAGCTACATGGTTGTCCAGCGGAATTATGACAACATCTATATTGAAGCAGGTTTTCTCATACTGAAATGAAGAAAATAAGGGTTTATGTTTTATATTACCATGGCATCCTGCAGCCGAAACATGGTATTCTTGCAATATAGATTGACTCACAGAAGTATTACAACCATATTTGATTTACAACTTATTTAACGGCAATTTTTAAGAGACGTGGTTTAAATGTTTGTCGGGAGATCTTAGCAACTTCAACTTTTATTGTTTAACAAACAGGAACGAACGTATGCATTTTTATAACTGTCATACATTTTTTTTGATGTAGTTTAAACATACGTATGATTATCAATTATTAAAGGACTTGCAAGTTGAAAGGAGTGTGTGCACTGTTAACAAGTATAACTCGTTGACTGCAAATAAGATTTGTACTAAATGAAAAGAATTGTTAAAAATCTCAGGCAATCGTTGATCTAAGATCGATTGTCAATGCCGGGGTCGATGTATTTATGTACATCATTGTTGGGTTTAAAGCAAATTCACGTACCGACGAGAATCTACTAGACATTTTACTATATTTTATTTCATGGCCATGCAATCCTAGCGGAATAGTGTCAGGGAATATGTAAATGGCTGGTTGATATTAGATTATCCTGGACAAAAAAAAACAAAATAAAGGCGTCAGTCATATTTTGTAACATCAGTGTGGAATAACTCAAAATCTTTTACTGATAGTGGTAACTGTTATGTTTGCGCATACGTGAGTAGTGTCGCACTATATCTACTATAACCAGCGATATCATAGAGCTGCACGTATACTGTATATGCTTCCTGGTGCTTCGATTTCCGTTTTTCGAGACTTTGTAGGAAATTTGTAGGACAAATTTATCCAATATTAAAAAATGTCAACCCTTAATTAAAAAAAAAACGTGTTGCTGAAGTTTTTTTTATTTAGGGTGTCAGTGTTCTACTTGTCGGCATGCTGTTCTAAATTTGGATGAGAACAAAGCTAAAAAAACAACGAAAGGAAAAAATAAACTTTTACGCGAAACGTTGTTCAAGCTCAAAGTTGATGATGACTTGTTTTCAGATTGGTGAATATCATCTTTGAAAGAACGAAAAGTAACACACTTAAGTGTAGTTGTGAACAATAATTGTGGTAATGGATAGGCTTACGCCCGCTCAGCAAGCGGTGCTTGAGCGGATCGAGAGAAAAAAAGAATTAGAAGCCAAAAAACTCTTGAAGAGAAAAGGAAAGAAGGCGCCTACCACTGCGACCTCAGTTAAGCCCGATGAGAAGCCAAGTCAGCAGGGTCAGGGGGACGCAGAAATTGTGAGTATGTTTGCTTGTTTTGGCGAACGGTTATCTTACGTAAAAATCGCATGATCCTAGGCAATGAATAGCAATCGAGGCGGTCAGTCGATTAAGCCCAGTGTACAATAACTTGCATATTCACACATTTCGTAATAATATACTTAATGTGTTTTTATGTTATGCAGTCAGCAGTCAGTGAAGTCGCAGTCGCAAAAGAAAAATTAGTTAATCACTCTTCACAGGTAACGGCAAGTAAATCTACGACCGCGATACAGCATGTAGTGTGTACAATCAATGCGAAACCTACATTGGCGTATAAAAAAGATCAGTAACTTTCTATTATAAGTAGCCTATTATAGGGACTTTCTAATGTCACGGGGCAGCTCCAATGGGCAGCATAAAGTGAATAAATAGGGTTTCCCAGTGAGTTCTGATTTTATGTTGTCAAAGGCGGAAATTTATAAAGCTATACATATCGGTGACATCAACTATTCGATCTAAAAAGTGTAGATATGTAGTTAGAACTGAAGCTTTAAACATCCGTTACATATTTTTCTCAAGCAACCTTTTACAATGCCTATTGCTTTTTATTTTAGAGCGCTGTTGAATCGAAGAAATCGGCACAAATCGAAGAAGACCAAAAATTAAAGGTTTATAGCCTGTCTGACGACACTGAGGAAGCTAATGATGACCGGAAGAAAAGGAACGTATCTTCTGTAAGTTTAAGAGAGTGTGTCAAATATGATACACTTAGCTTTTAACAACAAGAAATTAGTAATGGTATGTATTTAAATTAGTGTAACATTCATTCCGTTTTGTGTGCGATTAACAATGAAAAAGAGATAATTTTTTAATTGTGTAGTTCCTACGTTTATTTACTTTTATTACAGCCTCCAAAAATCGTTTTAAATTCGATAGTGTTCTTCAAAAATGGAAATCACTCAAAACGTCCGTAAACAGCCACATATCAGCTCGGTTAAACTATTTATCAAGAATTAAATTCTTTATACATACTACCTATATTATATGCAATCCATATGCATACGAAGCAATATAATTAACCTATTCTTAGCAATATGCGATATACAACCCGATCTGCTAGTGGTAAATGACTGTTGTGCCATACCCGAGAACAAAATACGTTGCCAGGATATAAAAAGAATAGTTCACCGTACATATCGATGCTAAAATTGTCGCAGATCCTATCACTAATCCTCTAGTTCTGATTCAATTTGAACTAAACCTATGATGAAATCACTTTAGATGTTGAGTTAATAGTTCTGACTAAAAAATCTATTTGCTCTTTCAGGCAACAGGCGACGTGAGTGATTTGAAAACCCCACAATCTCGAAGTCGAAGAACGGATGTGCTTTCCGGAAAAAGTGAAGCAACCGAAGCACCCTTAGTACGTTTTATTCTGTTTGTACGGATCCCATTACATTTCATATATTATAATGATATGTATCTGACGTGAATACCGAACTTCATCCGGCTCTTTGAGGTACTACTCATTCGGGCAAAGATATATGTATATGCATATATTGTAGCGCAATGTGTTTTTGATGTAATTCCTTCGATGGGGAGACACTCAGGTAACATAACCTAATGCGTTCAATCGTATCACTGATGCCGTAGGCAATCATTGGCAATATATCAAATGTTATACACACTGAACGTGTTTCCGTCGCATCTAATTTCAGATTTCTGGAGAAGCTGCTGTGGCGACAAAAGGAAACCGGGGACGAAAAACGATGTCGGCTCTGGAAAACCCAATTTCTGAAGAGTCGGTACGAACCATCTTGATTATAAGACCTCAGAATATACTTGACATTTTGCACGGTAGTGCTATCGGCCTTCATTATTTTGAGATGGTATAGATTTAAAGTGAAACACACAGTTAGTCTTTCTTTCATCTTTTAAAAAAGAAAAAATCACAGCGAAGCACGCTATTAAAATTTCTGTTTACAAAAGTGATCGCCGAGTTTATGAATACTGTTTTTCTCTGCAAAACCACATTTAATCAGAATCACTTTCAGCTTAATAGACTCCTTAATATGATGATCTCTTTTTCTGTCAGGCCATGACACCAGCTCAGCTGGAAGTGCTGGAGAAATTGAAAAAAAAGCAAAGCGATAATCCGAAGGGAAAGAAATCTGTGAAGTCTGCGACCGTCACCGAACCCGAAATGGAAACTGATTCTGTGAGTTGAATCGATATTTATTTGAAGTATAAATGACCAAAAGATGACCATAGAATAGGTAAAACTAATTTAATAGAAAATATAATCCTCGTTAAATTAAACAGCTATTAGCTTAAAATGGCCGCTAGTTTATCGATATAGAATAGGGTAACTGACTGACTTAATTATACAAATAGAAAGATAGTATATATTTCAAAATTTATTGCGTAGTAATTATACAAATAGAAAGATAGTATATATTTCAAAATTTATTGCGTAGTAATCAGCGGGCTTTAAATGTACTTAACCTCATTTAGGATACATCGTTGAGTCTGACTGTTGTAGAACCCGTCGTCAAGAGCCGACGAAAGACTACTCAAGCCGACGTATCCATTGTAAGTCGATTTTTTATGAAGGCCAAAAAACTTGCGGTGTCATTGTTATTTTATCTATAATGAGTAAAAAAAACGCTTATATATAATGTTCTGAAAGCGCCCGTGCAAATTTTGGTCATCTTCTTTTGTTTTACCGCTTTCAGCAGGAACATCCAATGACATCAACAATGATCGAGACTTCCGTAAGAGGTCGTCGAAAGACCCTCAACGCCGACTTAAGCATTGTAAGAGGGAGTTCTTTGTTCTTGTACAATATGTAGCATCCGAGAATGGCTATAGATCACTTAACATACCAAAATACATGGAAAAAAAAATAAACATAGCGAGTTTTCTTTTCATATATAACGCTTCAATCATATTATTGCACTAGAATCTGTTTAAAAATGAAAGCACGTGGTTTAAGCGAATGAATAATTAAACAGTATGTATGAAACAGAATGTATGAAGGTTTGGTGTGACAATGCAGGAATCAACGGTGTATCCTGTGCAACTCAATCACTTATGGATTAAATGAAGCTTTAACCGCGTTTATTACTCTGTTCCGATTCTTATTGATTGTTGTAGGTTGTTCCTCTCAGCACTAAAAGCGAACCTGAAAAAGCGAGCAAGAAAAAAACATTGCCGAAAATTATTGATCTTGATGAATCCGATGGTGACCTCGAACCTGATGTTAGTATAATTAGTATTTCATGGCTGATGGTAACTCTTTGAATTCGGAAACGGTCCTAATTAGTGATACATGTATAATGTTTTGTTACATATATGCAATGCTGCTGTAAAATGTATTATTATTATTAATCACATCCTTTTCTCTTTTAGCATAAATTTACATGTTATGCAGGCGGATCGGCACAGGCTTGTGGGGTACTAAACATACGTTTTAACTAGTTAATTACCGCTTCCGATGGGCTATTCGAGTTTTAATTAGTAGACATTTCTGTACATACATTTTGCTAAAGGAACCAATGAACATGACTCAGTTAGCTGTTATGGAGCTCATTAAAAAGAAAAAAGAAGCCGAAGAAGCAAAATCTTCCAAGGGCCGTAAAAGTCGTGCTACAGATGTGTCGAATATGGAGGAGCCTTTAGAGGAGTCGGCGCCTGGGGAGAATAACAAACAAGTTGAGGATATCTCCAAAAAAGCTGCAAAAGCGCAGCGCCAGGTATGGACATTAATCAGACTTCGATGGCTAGAATTAAGGATCTACTGCGTATAATTATTTCGCGGAAGGACCAAAAGCACCACGTGTTAGAAAGGAGAAACCGCAAAAAACTTTTCTCTGCCTATTTTTTCTGCTTATGTACTGTAGATTGTGATAATTGTCTGGAGCACCTTTTTTAACTTTTTTAACAACTTTTTTTTTTAAAGAAAGCAAAGATAGAAAATTTTTCTTTAATAATTTTATTTGTGCTGTTTGATTTATAGTCGTTAACTCCCAATCAAATTGCTGTCATGAAGAGACTCCAACGCAAGCACGATCAGACCATTAAAATCGCTTCGTCTGACGACAACTGTGAGTCGGACGCCTCATCTTGTAGTGCTCCAAGATTTACAGACACCGCGGTGGCAAGTACTGAGCAGGACGTCGAATTCCAGAGAACGAAGGAATTCCTAGACATCTTGAAAGAGGGCAGCAGACGTGCAAGTTATCGGCTCGTATTAAAGGAACTTGTCTTAGCTGGAGTTACAGAAGCAGTTCAGAAGCTAAAGGTGAGTCAACATGCCTGTAGTTGTTTGTCGTACAATTTTTTGGTAAGTTGACATGTTAAATTTTAATAAGTAGCTTAACTGAGTAATTAATGTTTGAATTACTCCAGCCACTGTCCGATGTCCAGAAGGACCTTGTAGCAACGTGCCGACAACAGATTTTGGGTGATGAGTGCCTGCAGTCTAGCGGGTCATCGGACGTGGTCCAGAAAAAGTTCGCTAGAAAGAGGCGTGTCGATGAAGATCAGCCCTCAAACGCGAAGGTGAAAAGGAAGCTCGGCGATTCTAGTAAAAGTAAGACCAGTTCCAGGGGCATCGAAGAGGACGATGAGGTAGACACCGATGCGACAGAAGATATTGTGACCCAAAAAAAGCGACCAAAGAAGGTTTGTTGGAACATGCATTTTTTAGCGTAATAGGTACACCTGCAACAGCAAGTAATAAGCCGTAGAGAGCTTATTTAAATTTATCCAAGTTTGCGTATTTTTATAGCGTATTATCCTGAAAAAAATTGATACGGTTCCTACATTTTGTGGTGGTTCGTTTTCACTTCTACAGGAAAGCAGAAAAATTGCCCTGTATAGAAAAGCGAAGTTAGTGTACGATACATCGATTTGTGAACTACAGCTTGCTATATGCGTCTCTTTTTTTTAATTTTTACTTTAACAGGTGCCGAAACCGCAGTCTCCGGAAATCACATCCGATGACAACGATCATATGGAGTGCGATATGTTGTCGCGGAAGAAAGAGACCAAGACGACATTTATTATTTTTGACACGAATGCATTCCTCCATATCTACCCGTATTGCAAAGCTGTCCTCGAATGTGACAAAGTTGAGGTAAATTTGTGACAAATCATCAGTTGCTAAATACGGAGTAAAGGAACTTCATGCACGGCCGGATCAGCATAAATACGTGTCCTCTATTTTGCATCCATACAAATTTAATCATATTCAATACCATCCACTACTCTCTGTTGCACTAACGGCGACTAAGTGAAGTGGTATAGCGCACTGTTAGTGTAGAAGACTGACTGCAGTAGTAACGTTGATCTTCGTAGAGGAAGATTGCTGGCATAATTTCTACTAAATATAATATAAGATATGCGTGCATTCGTTTCTAGCTGTTCTCCCAGTGGTCGCATTAAATTATGGTAAATTATGCCGTGCAATAGGCGTTACTCATTGCCCAAGATATTAGAGCTGAGAAACTTCTGAGCTTACTAACATACTTGATGTTCTAGCGCAATGCTCGATTGCCTCCTTGCAGTCGTTGCTAGTTTGTTGATTTCTTTTTGTCTACTGATTATGTTGCTTTTTTGTATTTATTTTGTAGGCCGATGAAGATTTCGAAAGTATCACGATGTTTGCGATATTCGTCGTAGTCCGTGAGCTGGATGGCCTTTCAAAAAAAAATAGCTTCATTCGTCAGACAGCAGTGAATGCTATCCGGCTCATTCACGGTGCACTTCAGGACAACAATCCACGTATTGAGGGCCAAGATTTCTCTGCTTCGCAAAAGCGCCTTGACGGAAGCACGTTAAATGATGACTACATTCTTAAGAGTGCGGAAATCGTCAGTAAGCGAGGTAGGTTACAGCGAACTACGTGTCAACTTTAATCCCCGCCCTGAACAATTTGCCCTATTAGTTATATATATACTTCGGTTTTAAAAAACACTTTATCGGTTTTAATATCTTTTCAGGCGATTCCGTGGTAGTGGTAACCGATGATACAAACCTTCACGTGAAAGTTGCTATGATGAGATTACAAGCCCTAAGTCTTATCGATTTCATTGCTCGCTTTCATTGGCTGACGCCAATCGTAACTGCGAATCTCGTAACTGATATGAAATTAATTGGCGAAGAAGCCATTGCTTTGTAAGTATTTCATATTATGTATACTTTAATTACAAACGCTTAGTTCCCTTCTAAAAATATAATAAGAATGTCATTATGTTTAACAGCTTCTTGAAATATTTTAACATAACACGAGAGCCGACTGTTACTGAATTACGCCAACCACAAATCGCCATGCGGTGAAAATTATCATAAAATTTTTATAGAGATGGAAAATAAATATAATTTAAAGCGGAACTTACTGGTCAGTATACGTTGCAAGGTCGAGAAAACTATCAATTGAGAGAAAACGATTTTCGAATCTTAATTGAATTTGCTAATCAGATTTGCTGAAACGGTGGTGACATCGATCGTGCTAAAGGCTGTCATGGCCCAGCTATCACCAATGCCTATGGAGGAACGTCGGGAATTGTTTCCGTCGAAAAAGCTTGCAATCACATTGGCGTACACTCTCAAGTACAAGCGTCTTCTTGAGGAGAGAGGGGAGCCTTTTGGTAAGCACTGAGCAAAGTTAGTCTTCTTGTAAATTGAATTTGGTTTTTGCATGCGTTATCGTACAGAGATATAAAACATATTTAGATACATAAGTCCTTTTTAGCGTATTATGTCACTAATTACTCGACAAGCTCATTTCGCTGTTTCGTCGACGATTTCAGCATCTCTGAACTACGACAGGGTGGCGACAACGTTAAATGCGCTTCAGAAGTATCGTGAAGTCGATTCGAAGAATCCCGATCGGATGAAGCACTATGCTCGCTTCCTTAGTAGCGCAGTTACACTTTTGCGAAATATAGCCGCCTTCTTTCCCAATATGCAGACCCGCGTAGATCTTGTAGCAAGTTTGAGCAATGCATATCAGCATCACTTGCCCACAAACGAACGTGTACAACATCAGGCCCCAGAACCTCAGCAACGGCGTTCTCGACTAGATCCCGCTACTCTATCAAAGCCGTACCTACAAAGGACGATCCCACCCGTCCGAAAAACTCTTCTTCCCACGCCACCTAGCGTAAACGTAATGGAGCCTCCTGTAGCTCTCGAGTCAATCGCCGTCAGTGGAACCCAGATGAATGCGACCACGGTAGCTATGCCAGTCCACAAGTCGAGACAAATACGGCAGAATCAAGGAAATAAAAATGAAGAATTCGATGTCGGTAACAGGCCAGACGAACCTGTATACTTTTCGTTTTCCGAAGGGCAAAGAACGGCTGAGCCGTCGCAGGCGCCTGCCCAGCCGTTACATGCAGCGTTAGCTAGCCCGGCCCGCTATTCATTCACTGCTTCATCACCACCTGCAAGACAACAACATGTTCCTTCAACCCATGTGGCGCCTTCAACTGGCCCGATTACCCCGTTAGGCAGAACAGGAGCAACAAGCGGTCGTCAAGCTAGTCCTTATGCCGCTTGTCAAGAACTTATATCGACCGACGTTATAAAGACGGTATATAATTATTTTCAGCAATTCGGCACCTCCGTATGCAATTACACAGGTAGCTGTTGTGTAAAGATGGGTGTACGCTTTACCTTGGCATTCACTGCGTCCGGCGCACAGCTTGAGGCATCATTACATGAAGTGACGGAATCGTTTGGTCGAGTACTCCAAGCGATGAAGAAGCTAATCACAGATGCTACAGTGGAAAATGCTCGGTTATTTCTGCAATATTCGGCCGAGGTGATGAGACTCATTTGTAAAGCTGATCCTAACCTGGTCACGCCTCTACCGGACATTTCGCCTAACGGCCTCTTACAATTTGTCACGGATTCGGGTGGTAAGTCAACCCTGGCCGCAGGCTACAATCAGTTTTGTGATTTTAATAATTGTCTAGAAAAGTGCTGGCTGGACCTACAAAGAGGATGAGGATCTTCACGTAATAAAAATAACAAAACATGTTATTAGGTTGAATTTATATAACAATAAAAAGCATATTAAAACATTACGTGTATGTCTGTTTGCGATAATCACTGATCATTTTTATGTTCTTTCACATATATAGCATCGGCGAATTCTAATTGTTCTGATAATGCTAACGTGATAGATTCGGAAAAAGCCTTAAAAATGAGCGTAGAACATTTGTATGTAACGCTTTGTATATGCTCGATTCATTGGCCAAATTCTATATAATGTATATCTATCCAAAGACGCCCAAAAATAGGAGTATCGCATGTTTGTAGTTATTTGTTTGTAGCAGCGACAAAGCCAACAACAACGATAGAAAATGGTTTAAAGAGTTGTTTTAGAACGCTACGCTATATTAAGATTTCATGGCGAATTCAATGCTTAATCAGAAAGCATTTTAAGCAACACATTTTGTTCTGTTTCGTTGTCACATTTGAATTTTTTTTTTGAGATAAAGTAAATCTGTTCGGTTACAGCTTCGCACTGCAATATTGCAATTATCACTCAACCATTGTCCTTCTCAGCGAGAAAAGTAAGGAAGAGAACTATCAGCTACTTTGAAAAAACGAGCCAGAGAGGAGTAGAACTATCGTTGTTTTTTAAATTACGTTAGTGCGTCTTTCGAGGTTGATTGAACGTGATAAATCGTATGATTTTCGCGAGGAAACTGACATACATGTGTACATTTTTGAAAAGGACCAGCCGTCAAAACTTTACTATAATGCCTAACTCGATTAGAAAGTAGACAGTAGCACATCGTCGAAGCACCGACGGAATTATCGATGGTTAAGCCTAAAGAGAAAATGTATTTCGACTTATGCCAAAGGGCATATTAATGTCAAAGTCAAATGATGTTAACAATTTATTACGATTTTCCGATGTTTTCATTTTCTCTGGTTATTAAGCAAATAAAATGATAATTGGTAGTACTGCTGTATTTGATCTGATTTTTAAATAAACCACTAGCCACTAATTAATATACGGTCTTTGAAAAATAAATGACTAATAAATAAGTTCTAAAAGAAAAAAATGTTCCTGAGCTTTTAGGAGTAGTCAGAACAGAGGCTAATGCATTTTAATTAGACCGATTTTAGTTTTCAGTAAAATGATCGACGTTTCTTTGAACAACAGCCCCTCGCATTGAACAGTCTACGAGAATACATGTTGGACTCCAGCGTTGCACAACGATAAACGTAACTCGCTTATCAACCTCCATATTTTAAGTTTTACATCCGGTATCGCCGTTAGGCTTTCCACCACACATCTGCGTCCAGTACGAAACGAACCATAGATCTATACTCAAATTCGAATCTATATAACAACGTGTCCCTAAAATTAGCGTGCAAATACGCCATTCACTACGCTATCATAAGGACTCTCAAGCCTATTCCTGCTAAGTGTTGATTTTAGCTCCATGAGAAACAAAAAAAATTGGAATGTCGCTGCTGCAACATAAATACTATAAAATCCTCCATAATTAATGCTGCTACAAGTCAAATTATAAATAAAAAGACACTACGATTGATTTATACTTTTTATTGAAACTCAACAGTGTTCTACGTATCATTGACTTACTTAATTTACACAAGTGTCTTTTCTCAACTTTATCCTATGTATCTATGCAAGGCACTATGCAACCCGCTTTCGTTAATATGAGTTATAATAATCATAACAACAACAACAATGATAATAATAATAGTGCTTCTTGTCTCTCAATCTGTCGCGGACAGGACTAACATTTTACCACTGTGACGGTCCATTGAAAGCCTATGGATTCATTTATTTGTGATAAACTAGTGATTTTTTTCACGCGACTTCTATTCAATATCATACTCTGATTAAGCATTGCCGTTGAGTGTTTGCCTAAGAACGGATCCACCATCTATCAGAATTTGCCATTTTCATATGCCACGTAGATGACAAGCGAAATGATGTTTGCTGTTCCTACCGTACTAAAGGCTAAACCGTGATTGAGTTAATTAAAACGCTACGATAAAATGTGACCTTGACACTTCGTCTATTGTTAGTATGATTTCATAGCCATATACAATGTGTAGCAAACCACTAGTAATGTATCATCTGTATGTGGAATCCACTTGACTCGTTGTTGAAGCCTGGCTTTTGAACAGGCCCTTTGCAAGCATTTTTGTGGTTATTATACAGAGTCGACAAAGCTTTACTTCAGGCAGTTGATCGTATTATTAATGGAACTGATATTATTAATGATATTTTGAGACGACCTATAACCACAGTTTGGCAAATATAACGCAATATCATTTTTCAAGTTCGTGCAAATTCAACTATTTGATTTACGTCACGCTCTATTTTCAAATTGTTACTACTGAAGGTGGATCGCAGATCTATTTGCAAATCTTAAGGATGAATCTGCGACTATGTCAGCTCTTTCGGAATAAAACCATAGTATGCCGCCACCTATTCTTTGAAAAGAGTTTTCTCGTCGCGCATATAAAGCGCGATTATCAGGAGTCCCCTACGGTCCGTACGAAATGCAACGCCAAACCTTCCATGTGATCGATCTCTACCAAACTGCATTACACCTCAGTCTTGTTCGACTCTAGCCATTGCTACACTCTTAAATATTACTTATGTGTATTTGTGTACATAACAGTTTATGTCCGGTTATTACTGTTACTAAACTGTCTGCTATCAAAATGACCATGGAATGCTAACGATCTTTTAGCAACTACCAACGGAGGCTTGGCTGTGCTAAAATGATGACTTCTGTCACGCCCACTGATGACGTTTTGTTGTTGCTCTATCATCTTTTCTGGCTCATTAGCATGCGCCCTGTTCAAGTGTCTCGATTGACTGCATTCGCGTGATCGCAATAGACTGGGTGACCTTCTGGGCCGGAGGCGGTGGAGGGGGCCCAGAGTGCGTTTTGACCACCCGAGCGTATTCGACGCCATCGCCAACGACGATGTGTTCCACTGACGGACCTCTAGTAGGTCCATTTATTGAATTCAATAGGGCTACACTCCCGTGGCCATTCTGTTTTTTAACCATTGACGCCGAGTGGCTTGTAGTCGAGTCAGGGTCAGTAATATTCGCATAGACGGCTATACTGCTCACTGGAGTCTGAGGTACCGCACATGCTCGCCCTGCAACGGAGAAGGATAACCAATAAATAATAATAGCGAAAAGAACCCATTCTATACCCTCATAGATTACGAATGAGGTTAACGTCGTGATTTCATCTCGGTATCATGCACGAGAACGATAGTTATGAAAAGAACAATAACGAAATAAGCAGTTTAGCATAGCAGACATCGGTTGGGATGTACACTGCGAAGTTCCATTATAGCGAAGATGTTACTTCGCAGGTAATTGCAGCAAGCGTTGTTACCTAACGACGTCTGCAGCAGACAGCCACCAGCAAGGGCAACGAGCTTCTGTTCGACTTACTTCCATCCAGATTGAACCGCGGAAAGTGACACTTCGTTGCGTAATAATAGACTGGTCGGCATGCCAATGGATTTTTTGTCCCTACTGATCCGCGGCTTATCATTAGCGTTTAGCATTATTGGCTCCTCAGATTTCCTGATGTTCTACACGTTTAGCATTGGCTTACTGCATAGCAAATCAGCAACCGCACAATCGGCTTTCTATTCTCGTTTTCCTTTTACGACTGTTCAATTCTGAAAGCTTTTGATCACGCCAACTTGTAATGATATTTGCCGTTTATCTTATCGGCAACATCTGACGCGACTGCAGGAGCAGATCAGTTCCGGTAGTGCCATTTGGTTGTGTTTACTCTACTGCCATAATGTTACACCAGTACATTATGCTAAACGAGTAGCTATGCGCCGTGCCGCGCCCGCATATGAGCAGATCCTCACACCGAAGGGGCAGGTGCAAACAGATTCGGCAGCAGTGAGCTGTCCCTCGGGACGATGCCCGCACTTGAACGGAGACACGACATTGGGTTTGTTTGTTTGCCTCTACGTTTGTCGCTCGATGGGACGCATATAATAGAAAGCCTGTGACGCCGCTTCTACTTTTGGGGGAGAGCTCTCGTGGTCGAATTTGTCATGTGCCAATTGAAACTTCTACAATATATCCGATTATTATTAAAATACGATGAGTATGACAATACGAAAAGAAAAAAGAGGCACAGTTCTAATATTGCTGTTTGTAGCGATTACTTTGTATGATGTATTAACAAACTTTGCCCATGTATGTGTGGTTGTAACGATTTGAAGTATGAAAACAAATTTTTACCGAAAGTGATCGAGTCGTTTTCGTGAGTTGAGCTGCCGCTGCTACTGCTACTCATTTGTCTACAGCCCTCGCAGTTCTCGTCGTGGCTCACCTGGAAAAGTGAAGCATTGTTAAACATACAATACATCAATAACAGGCAATAATAATTAGACACAGGAAGAAACTGAAGAGAAAAACGAATTAACCCATTTATATAGTGATGTAGTTTTTTTTCTTTAATGCGACCTGAACTGCAGAAGCCAACAATGCAAGCGTAAAAGTGTCAATCGAACGGAACATCAGCCTGCAACACCTGCTGCAGTCTTTTGATCGTTCCTGATATAATAACAGTGCAGCACAACAAGTACATGACGCCTTCACGCTACCTTATCCTTGTCGAGAGATCCAGCACTAAGCTGAAGCTTCAATCTTGACTTCCCATGCGCTTTGGCATCGTCCGGCCCGGTTGCTGCTATAGCAAGCCGCCCTGTTGAAGGAGTTCCCGTCACTAATATCGAAGCTTCTGCAGCCTTCATTTGGCGACGTTTCTCACCCGCCAATTTCATATAGCTCGCCAAACATTCGAAAATCTTACGAACGTCTGGAGCGTCAAACGAGAACAAGCCTGCGATACAAAATGTTGCCGGAGCGAATTATACGATATGAGTAAATGAAAAGCCAAGAAAGAAAATATTGTATATACAACATAACGGTACAGCGTCCTTGAGCTTTGCGCCTGTCCCTAAACTAAGGAAATTGTGTAATTACCAGCCAATTGAGCATAGTATCTCTCCAACCCGAATACTCGCAGTTAAGTCACTAATTTACTATGGAAATCAGTTGATTAGTTGTTGCATTATTCTCATTAACATAAGAAGCAGCTGGAGCTGAAGTGGACAAATATAGTGAACCAAGCTATATTATATAAGGACTGCTGTTTTAGTATCTGCTGTCTATCGGACCAGTAAGAGTGAACACTGTGAGCTATGTACTTGATCCCCTTTATTTAGTATTTTGCAGCAATGAGTTATATCCGTTGGGTCTCTGTTGTTTAAAAAATCTGGGTCATTACCTTCACCTGACGGGCATTTACGGCCAGCTTCGAAGCTGAAGAATCCGCTGACTATACCGTATCTTCGGATGTACGCGTAGTGCCATTCGAAGATGGCCTTGTCAGACTTTTCGTCGTTCGCATAAAGATTGTTCAGATCGCCGTACTTGAGAATCATCGAGTCTGCCGTCAGCACGATAACGTAGTTTAGCTCCGTGGGATCTAGGCCGCATTTCTCCGAAGCGGGCGTACTCACAAGCTGATTGATTGATCAACCCGTTGATCAAGGTAGTTTGGTAATGTGATAGCGTACGATGAACGGTTGGCAACACGCCCATAGGTAAGTCATTTATAGCATTGACAAAACGCATGAAATAGATGTTAACAAAATAATGCGTGTAAAATAATGCCAAAAGGAAGTTGTACAACAATCTTTACTTTTCGCATACGCATTGAAAATTAATTTCAGATCATTAAATCTTCAATCTTTGGTACTAGCATATTTTATTCATTCGCTCGATTTAAAACTTGTTTTTTTCTCGAACTGTTCTGTATTTGCTGAACTACCTACCTTTTGTCTAAGCTGGTTACTGGCAATTCCCTGCACGATTAAATCGTATGACCAATAAAAGGCCTAGCTAATATTGTTTTTTTTTTAGAAAGTCACAGCTCAAACAAGTGCCGCTAGGGCACTGTAATATTCAGAAAAAAATGAGCGATATCTGACAGCGTTTGTCAAAATTAGTTTTTAAGCTTCGGAATTGGATTTCTGGGTTTGAACGTTAAACCACATTGTGAATGTCAACATAAACTGTACCGTGCTGAAGTGCATGCTCCATTCCGACAAGAACATACCTAACGACCTCAAAGGCTTCCTGCGAAGCAGCGAATTACCGTTTGACCTAGTGACTGCATAAATAGCCTGTGTGCACTATGAGTCATCTCAAAGATGGGTCCTACATAAACCCAGCGGAAATATTATTGTCAACGAATTAGACACATCTATTGCCAACAGGGCGGAAGAAATATTCTATCTGCAGAAGATTGTCATCGGGAAGAGAAAAGGGTTTTCTGCGACAACGTTCTCTAAAAGAAATGATGTTCAAGTTCTGCACAAACATCCACATAGAGACTGCATCCGATTTATCGGAATTCTGAGGCCAGTGCTTTACCTGAAGCTTCAAATGGATGCAGATTGCGGCGCGACTCGACATGTCATTACTTTGCAACCGGTTTATAAACGGTATTGTCTATTTTACTAGATCCGTATTGGATTACAACTGTTTGAATCTACGCCGCAGTGCCTTGGGAACCGGCTATTAAAAACGGGAGGCTGAGTTGCGAGGATGGCTGTCTATAAACGAACCGGTATGTTCGCCTGTTTTGTTGGCCGAGAGATCTGTGCATTGCTCGAACATCGGAAGACCAACTTCAGTCAAATAAGGAAGTTCAATGGGCTAGGTTAGTCTTTTCTAACAGCTAGCGGCATTCAAAGTTGATCAGTATCACCACTTAGAGTAGCTAAAGAAGGCTTCTTAAAAGACTCGATTTATACACATAAATTGAAATCTCCTAATTGTATTGTACAGATGTGAAGAAATCTAAGGTAGAGCCAATAGAAACAGGAGAATTCCTGCTGCAGAGCAAAAGCTCTGTTTTTGTTTTTTTTTTCAGAAACAGAGCTGCGGCTTTAGAGCTTCTGCGGAACGGCTATGACGTATGACATGTTACTCGTATATCTTAGTTACCTTTACACAGAACGTATCTTCAACTGCTCCGTAGAGATCGTTTTCTCTTACAGCATACCCATTGGGCTTGCTGTTGTCGCTGTTATTATTATGACTGCTCATGTTATGACTCAGTTCAACGTTCGAATTGTTGTTGTGGTGCATGATATTTTGGTTCTTATCGGGAAACGCCACCTTCCTTATCCGGTCCATCCAGTCCTGAAGCTCGGCGGGACTTTCGGCGCGCAATTGAACACTACGTTTTTCCGTCGTTATCTGTAAAATTGGCAGATGAAAGACAAAATAGCACTTCTTGAATTTTCGTTGTAGACTGTTTTTAAAACTATTTTATTTTTGAATAGGGCTGGTGGTTTGTGGGTGATATAATTAGCATACTTCATTAGAAGACGGTTAAGACTCAAAATACGCTTGGCAAAGCAGCTGTAATAAATATGCAGTCACAATATTTCCAGCAAGCAGCCAGAGTTTGACTCCATGTAGGATGTAGATAAGGTGGAAGAACATTTAATAGTTTAAAAGATCGAAATGAAAAAAAAACTGTAGTATGTGTCGCTGGCAGGACTTGAAGCAAAAACTCTTGGTCTCTTTTAATTATATGATTTTAAAAGGTATTTTGCTTCATGGATCAACCAGTGCTACATAATTTAAGTACATGCATATTTTTCTAAAAAACAATATCAGCCATTTTGCTTTGTTCTTTCTTCTAAGTTCTCTTATCGGCTACAGGGCGCCGACGTTATATCTAACGAAGGGCGGTACAGGCTCGTATATTCTCGTGCAGAGCGACACGGCGGCAAACGATTTCGCCATTTTGCTCATTGTCCGTTCATGCAATTGTGCATGTTTGTGCTGTCTTGACCTGTTCGGCTTCGTAGTGAAATCGGTAGAGCTCGGTGACCCCACGCGGGACGAGGCACGAGGGAGGGCAGCTCGCAGGAAACTTGTGTCGCCTACGCAAACAGCATTGTATGAAGTACGGAGCCATGCTTCGCCACGTTGTACCGCAGTAGACCTACCTTCCTTGGAACTTGCTGTTGACTTTCCGAAAACGTCGCCCATGCTGATAATAGAGTAACTAGTGCAATTACAAAATAGGAATATAATGACCCAAAAAACGTACTCGGCGTTTCGTCTCATGAACGTAGCAAGTTAAAACGCCAGCAATTTTCACACCTGACGAGGAGAACGATGGAAGATTGTATGTTTAAAAGTCAGAGAATTTATGGCCAGGAACGAGCTGTATACTTTGATAAAGGCTGTTAAGTCAAATCAGATCCAAAGCTCTTCATTGAGTAAGCTATCATTTACAATAGATTTCTACGATTTAGAGAGAGATTTTCCACGAGTATATGCATGCACACAGTCTCGTATCAACTATGATAGATCTTATCGGATAGCGATCAGTACTTTTATCAACCAATGAATCCCACTTAACCATCGGAAACTTTATGGGACCTTTGACTTAACCAGGTATCTTGGGCATATTATCGTAGAAGCACCCTATGTTGTGCCACAAAGCCAGAACAATTAACTGGACACGATTAGTTACTATTGCAATATCATTGCTACAAAAACACGAACTTACACTCCGTTCCGGCAGCATTTGAATGCCGATATTGCGTTATTCGGTTCTGATTTTTTTAGAGTGACCTTTCAGAGCTCACATCACAATATCGGAGTTTCGAAAGATACGCTCGGAGTTCTTCTCGGAGAAATACTCGTTTGCTCAGTTATATATGTAATTTCTGAGTGTACTGGGAAGAAATGGTAAATTTGGATACGATGATGACCAGTAAGCAAAAAACGGATAGAAGGCTAGTCATCTAGTCCTTTATGACCCTTACTGATTCTTATGAGTATCAGACTGTTCTCTAATGCAGTTTGATGTCTCTTTACTTGAAAGGTGTGAATGTTTCGACTAAATTGAATGTGGTATGCGCTCGGAGCCAATGGAACCAAAGCGCGGCAAGAAGATTACAAATAAAAATGGAATAAAACTCGGGTTAATTAATAGACATAAAATGCAACATATCCAATTGAGTGTCTATTTTTACGAAAACCACTCCCTACTCACAGCTCTTTAGAAGAATATATAGTGAAACTTACTGCCAAACTGCCTGAAGTTCTTCAACGAATGCTTGCTCAATGCATCATTACGTTATTGTTTACATTTTCTAGCGTCAGTGCAACAAAATAAGACCTCCCATAGCATTTCCAGGCTAGGAGTACCATGCAGCGTTTTTATTGGAACGGCGGAACATTGTGCTAAGGCGCGCCATTCGACACCACAATGTAAATGGAAGTATATCTCTGAGACCGGTGGCCCGCGAGTTTAATGTATGATCCTGCATCGCTGATGTCCAATATAAATGAACATCCACACAAGCGCTTCTCATATATTCAGCATAAGTCAAATCGATCTGGTATTTTGTCAATAGTGTGCTAATAATGACCAATTCAAATATTAATTTTGAAGTTTTTCATTGCGCCCTACTCACCGTGAGGCTTTTTTACAGCGCACAATTTACAGCACAAAATCCCTATCGGATAACTTCTGCTGATAACAATTTCTGCTGACATTCGTCTGGCGCAGGAAAGTTCGCCTTGGATATATTAAAACTTCCAGACAATTACTTTCTGGTAGATAACAGTTTTTTAAATTTTTTCCTCACCTCAAATATATTGTATGTGGTGTCCTTGTCTTTGTGGTGTGCGTGATTGTTGTCTTTGGCGCTATCCTTCCGCGAGATCGTCTGAACCTTAACGGCATCCTCAAGGACAAGTATCTTTCCTCCAGTGCCCTTTTCGAATTGCTCCTCGTTGTCGAACAGCTCCAACCGCCTGACACCCTGCGGACTTGTATCGAAAAGAGCGCAAAATTTACGTGACCAGGATTTCTGCAAACAAATGGATTGAGACGTTAACAGTTAAAACGAGACTTGTTCGCTTGCTCACATGTTAGCGCAATTGTAATTCTAATTGGATAGATGTATTTAGGGCAGAACACTTGACTATAGTAATAATAAGGGCAGTCACAACAGTGAACTGTTTATTCTTATAGCTCTTGGATAGCCTAGAGTTATATTTGCAAGTTGTTCTTCCTTTGCAGTTAATTGTTATTACGACCAACAGTTAGCACCTATGTTAAACGCTCAATGTGGACAGAAAGGGGCTCCAGCATTCAATAAGCATTTTCTACAACATGTATATGTGTATACATATGTCGGCAAGTGGGACAAGTATTTCAGCTTGCAGCAACACGTGATTCCACAGATTGTAAAAGGCGATTCTTTAATTTATATTGTAATCTGCGACTCTTTTTATAAATGGCTTTTTCGCATAATACCTCTGTGTAATAATACTCCAGAACGAGAGGCAGATCCAGCAACCTCATAATTCATAATGACACACCACTATAGAACGAAACAAATGTCGACATGAGCATTTTCCTCAGCGTGCCACTCCATGTTGCCAGTTGACAATAGGAAAGCTCCTGATAAGCGAATTGTGAACTATCTGCGAAGGCTGGCCATAAACGAATCGGTCAGAGCGCGCTTCAGTAGAGCATAACAACGTTCCCCTCCCTTCGTGACGAAATCACCACAGCTAGAGCCATCAGTACGCTAATCCCATTATCTGTATAGCTATTTCATTCGTGTTCCGCCATACGAGAACACAGTACGCGGATATAGGCAGCTGTCACCATGATCATTGATGCTGCTGCTATTACGGTTGTACGTCAAGATGTCTCCTTATTACCGCTAAAGCGTGTACAATGGCGGCTCTTAACAGTATTTCGGATACCTTTGTATCAATCGTGCTAGTATAATACTCGTAGCTGCAAAAACGGCACAGCTACTTGGCGATAAACCGAGTTCATTTTGTGCGCGTTATCTCAAATTGATTTATTCAAGATTTTATATGAATATAACTTTAGCCCCGCGTTCTAGTCTCTCTCGAGAGACGATCAAACTTAAAAATATGAATAAATACATTTTCCGTTTTCTTTAGCTCGCGAAAGGCACTCCCTGCTTCGTTCCCGCGAGTTACCTACGGATGAGTTTACAGGTTGACAGACGATTCTGCTAATTAGCAAACGTTTCAAGATATGTCCAGTAGAGTAATATCATAGGAAGTTTAAATTTTCCCCGCGTTCAATCAAGCTGTGCGCATGAATGTAGGCGTCTATAGAAACGGATTTTTAAGAGTTTTTTTTTTTTTCTACAAGTGAAGTAGCCCTAGGCCCGCAGCGTCTGCGTTTTAGTGCTATCCTACACTGTAATTTGGCCCTGGTGTAATTGGTCCATATTGAATTCCAGCAGAACATTAACAACATGTAGATAACAAACAACAGCAGAAAAATGGCGACACCAAAACTGTATGATGTTAGTTGATAGCGCTGAACGAAGCTGTCGCTACACGGCAAAGTGTACATGCAGCGGGAGTCTTAGCTTACGGCAAAGTTTTTATCGCGTACTTGTACGTAACGTACCAGCGTTCTGTTAGCACAACAAAAGAACTAGCTATTTGAAAAAATCATCGTTTATTCACCACATATGGCCACATACTAGCGTGGTTAGCAGTGGTTAGTGCCAACATCGTACAATAGTGGATCGTACGGTGCGGGCGTCCATTCTATCCGTCTTACGTATAGATTAATAAGCTAGCTCACTCAGACGAAGCTATTACAGTGGCAAGCAAGCAAGCAAGCAACGGAAAATAGCATTTGACGCCGTATCAACAAGGATTGCCGCAAGATTTGCTCCGTTTTTCGGCTACTTATCTAGGCCGGGCTATCTGCGACAGTTACTGCTGTTGGACAAATATATCTACGCCGAAATCCAACGTACTTCGATATATGCGATTAGACATTATCATGTTTTACGAGTTTATGAAGTAGTACTGGCAAGCCTGGTTGGCTTCGTAGAGCCCGCATGCTGTAACAGGCGCCGAGTATTAACCTCAGATTACGGCAGACCGGTGTTAACTAGCTATCGTATGCAACGGATCGATTTTACAGGTGTGGCGTTCTATCGGATATCTGCCATCTGTGCGCCAACTGTCAGCGCGACCCATGATTCCAGAGTAATAATCGGTATAAGCTAATCCATTAGAATATTGTTTAATATCGTAACGACGTTAGCGGTTTAAATCTCATATATATCTATGTGGGATAATTGACGCAATCCGACCAAAGCGTTTCCTGAGTTGACGAATCACTAGTCCTGTTTTTTTAAACTTCCAGAGCAGTTACAGATATTCAAAGAAGCTTAGTATATTAGAAGAAAACAAAGATAAATTCCGGATTCTACGAAACATGTGATCCACGTGACTGTCTCAACAGCAAGAACAATATACGATTCATAGTGGTCGATTTCGTCGCCAGTATCTCGGCTCTAGCGCATGACACTTCCACGAAATGTATATAGGATCATATTTTTCGTTTCCATTGTATTGTGAGCTAAAGAATCTTTAATTTTTTAATTAACCTTAATTAAATATCCCCTTTCTCTTGTCATAGTGTTACAAAGGGCTTCTTTCCAAAGCGACTGGCGGAGTTTGAGTGCCATCTTGCATATTCCATAGCTCGACCAGTACGCACACGTCAAGCTATTCGTTTGGCGCCTTTTGCCCCCGCGCTCCTCCTGTATTCATTCGTCAGTATTTCCAAGACAACAACGGCAGCTGCTCAGTAGCTAGCAAACGCACAACCGTTCATCCACATTTGATCGTGAGAACCGGACGACTCGTCGATGTTACTCGCGTTTTTTCAAAGAAAACCGTGTGACGTGACCACGTAGATGGCCATTCCGCCTGGCTAGGATGAAGCAGAAGAGCTTCAGCGAGTGGAACCGACCGTAGCGTGAAACTACTGTACCGCAACAATGATATTTTTTATTGATTGGAAGCTATACACAACCACATACGCTTACGCACACAAACGTCCGGCTGTATAAAAGCGCAGATAAACACGGGCGTGCATCGTATAGTGCATCGTATAGTAGTCGTGCATTTCAACCTCGCCGTTGTCGAGCGACTTTGAACAGCTTAATTCACTTTAAGCGACCGAGTCGAATATCGGCTTCGAGTCTTTGCTTTTATTATTTTCTTGTCGCATGTGCGGCGCATGAAACGTACCTATTCATACATAGGGACTCTCATAGCGGCAACAGTTTTCTCAAGAAAACATAGAACGTTTGCGTCCATATTTGATTTTCTTGGTTTTTTTTTTCTCTTCACAAGTCTTGCATCGCCCGTTTGGTCCACTCTTTACAGTCACTGAACCGCCGACAACCGTAATAGCATTTGCGGATACAAGTATCCGGCTATGACAGGTATATAATCATGAATTGCCTGGTAACGTTGGCCTCACACCGTATTAGCAAGCTGCCCGTTGTGACGAGACGAATTGGAATCATTTATTAGCATTGCTATAAATCGTAGCAAGTACTGTATTACAAGGAGTGGGAGGCGTGCTGCTGCCGTTAACGTTCAAGCTACTTTCAGCAGAGCTCTACACCAGATATATAAGTTATAGATCTGTGTCACAGACGGGAAAAAAGTCGAGTGAAGAGGGCGAACTTAGCTTTCCTTGTGACTACGTCAAAACAGTTCCTGCCGTTGTCAGCCGCCATGTTTTTTTACCTTACCACAGCAGCCGCTATTCGTGCTTATCGGTACGAACTAATGGAGTATGAAACACGGTCAAGAAAAGAACAACGAATGCGACTCAAGCCGGAAAAGGGAACATCCTCAGATACTCGGAGCAAATTAGAGATCGACAACAACTGATGGTAACAATGCATGTCGGCCACGTATCAGTAAGTTGCCAACAGTATCATGCAAGGTTATGTATGCGTGTGCGTCTGCGTGCTACGCCATTCGCGCGAGAACTAGTGATACTCAACAGTGATAGTAACAGCAACAACAATATTTGTTATTATTGTCGCTGACAGGATGCGGACCGAGAGACGAATAAAACATGAACGATGGAAAAACCGCTTCTGTTTAAAAAACGGTTTTCGTAGCCAAATAGCGAAAAATCATGCCACGGTCATCTTCGTCGTCTGCGTCGTCGTTGCGAGCAGATTATGCCGTACGGCAAGCGTAGACAATATCGTGACGAACAGATATCACAAAGCAGTAGCACACAGTATTTAGCTTTACACAAATGGTTAGCTCAGGACGTTCTTTCTGCCGTAGAAATGACAGCTCGTGATTTAGGTCCAGCGATGCCCGTGGGAGATTTTTACCTAATTAGTTCATCCATGCAAAATCATAAATTGTAACAGATCACTATAGCGATATATAGGAAGTATATAATAGCAGTTTTACATTTATCATTTTCGCCTATTTATAGTAACAGACTTGCTTCTCATGGAGCAATTTGCATTGTCGGTGTCCGTTTTCCACTGACCGACTTTCAGACATTCCCAGCAAACAATGTAGGTCCTGACAAATACAGGAGGCGTATGTTATCTACGGAATAGATACAAAATAACGAGACTGTAATATAGGCATGATAATTTCTAAACACTCATGCTTACATTACAGTAAAAGTTATTGATGTAGTCATGTCGTATACGATAATTTGCCTGCAGCACTAACTAGCTAATTAAACGTTTTGGATGATCATCTACGAGCATTTTATTAGGGCTTATGCATTATGCAGCGTCTGAGCAGTAATCGTCGCAGTTTTCTGCTTCTATTACGATGGCAATAGAAGCAGAAAACAGTCAACGGTTAGCACAGAAGAAATTTTGCTCTGCCTACAAATGGCAATCGTTAACTGCGCGCTCATCCAATACAGTCAGGCACAGGTGCCTGAATGGCCAACATTTATCCGATAGGCCGTCGGACAAACGGAGTCGTTCCATTTAATACCTGGCGCTAGCGATGGCAGTATACTGCTTCAAGTAAACCGAATGCCTTCACAAAGGATTTACTAACCGACATGCACAAGTATGCAAAATGACGGCCAAAGTAGTAGTACAATTTCTGTCGGCACCTTGCATTCCAGAAGTAAACACTACACACATCAATCTTTCTATTATTGTAAGGATCGTCTTTATCTTTGATAGTGATGAAGATATCATGAAAAAAATATTACTATCACATTGGTACTGCTGCGCTTGTAATCACATCGTCCCGCTACTTCGTAACAAGGCCCATTGTGTTTTTAGCGTTTATGATATATACGCAAATTTTAAGCTTGTCTATTGTTTATAGAACCATGTAGTTGGATCATGCTAATCTTACGTCTACCTTGCACTGCGGCGAGAACGACGTGCGGGTGAAGATATCTGTTATTGAGGGCTATTATAAACTTAATCTCTAAGTGCGTAACCGTCGCAATGCATTTGGAATTGGTGTAGCTCGATAAAATTTGCGCTACAGTTGTATATCATAGATCATAAATTTTTAGCGTTTTTGATCGGATAAGTAACGGCAAGCGTTCACTACACTTTAGATGCGCTCCCTTTTTTTTTGTTTTTTTTTCATCTAGCTATAAATAAATTCTCAACGGAAGGCTCGTAGTCGAGCTAATTAAATTAGCGCAATAAGGGTCACGACAGATACCACAAAAGACGTTGCACAACCATGTGAAGTACGCGTGGAGGGAAGCTTGCGTCATCATGCATCAGCCGCCATTGGCTTCAACTTCCATGATACCGCTCGCGTACCGTACTTATTTTTTGCAAGACGAACATCTTCAAAAACATCGCAGAACAGTCCTCAAACGTCGCCCGGGATTTCATTGTCGTCTTCGTGCAGATCGATCTTTGACTCTGTGACCCTCCTAAGTTCTAATAAGCCTTCTTTGGACGTTGCAGCCATATGCGCGGCTCGAATTGCTCACCGTTGACACCCACAATAAACTCGAGTCAATAAATACATTAATTCTACGATAAATGATGACATGCTGGGGTGGTCACAGTACTGCCAAGCACACGTGAAGGCGTATTCGAAATCAAGCGCCACAATGGCAGCTTGACAAACAATACTTGCTGTTCGATATCTTTTTTGGCCAACCAGAGATAATATCACGCCAAGCTGTTCATCGTCGTATGTTGTGCACCGAATCACAAAATGGCCTTGTTATTTGCCAAGTAGTCAAACTCAAAATTCATAATAGTACTAAGTAAAGCATAACGTCATTAAGAATGGTCTATTTATTCGATTGAACGATGGATCACATCGATTCAACCTACAATATGACGAGAGCCTCATTGGCCAGCTCAGCAGTGAAATTTGACGCGATACCAAATTCAATTTTGTTCTGTTAAGGCCGGTCGAGATAAGGTTCCTATTTGCATATCGATCGCTTAAGAAGGAAGCACTAAATTACTAGAAGATCGATTGGAACGATTGGGCTGTCTTGTTGTCCGCTCATCTTTAACCCTGTCGTTGACCAACGTCGACCAGCAATCGAGTCAAGTAGAGAAAAAATCGTCTGGATTTAAGAAAAAAAACAAACAGTCCTTACGGAAGAACAACTTCGAAAAATTTCACATTTATTGATATGAAGCAATCATCTAGCCACTAACAGAAACGATTCAGTAGAACGTAATAAGCTCACGCTCGACACTGCAGAAACGTATGATTGAGTCGATTTGAGAGAAAGCGATTCTAATTTGCAGGGAGTGATAGCAAAAAATGTTAGCAATACTTGATGTCGTCTGTCTAGTTTACTTCAAATGCGTTTATGGGTATGCAAGCCTAATCGCCGATGTATAATAACAATCGAACCTCGCCTTATACCGAAAATCATGATATCCATAGTTAAATGAATTCTAAAAAGAGCAATATATATTTCCAAGTAGTTTCACATTTGCGAATAATTTATTGGAGACATTTAGTTGACATAAGAGCGTTATGCCGTAACATAGCGGTTCCTGTAAACTTCAACGACAGCTGTTTGTGTGAATGTGTTGCAAGCATTTACTATTACCTTGCATTCAAGGAACGAGTTCTCTCAGCAGTACCAACAGCGTTGACCAGTCATCATCTCGTGATACGGCTGCTACGGCCTTTTAAGCAGCGTCTGGTAGTCACTGATCAGCGACAAAGCCGGCTTTTACCGTCATCGTTGACTACAATAGACAAGAAACAAATACGCATCTCAGTGGATCTATTATACGTCCCGCAAAACATCGAAGGCAAATGGCGTGAAGCGGTGGCGCAACGTAGCGTGAAGTTAAATACCCGCAACAACAACAGAAAGGATAACGCGGGCCCCAGTGGGCCGAGACTATGAAGACGACATTAGTAAAAAAATCCGTAAGACAGAAATAAAACAATGATAATAGTAATAATAACAACAGTAATAATGAGACGAGAGGAACGTAGCAAAGCTAAGAAAAAGTGACGAGTAGCGAATGTACATGTGCGTATATATGTATATACATGTACATATTATTTGGCAAACAATTCAACGGAGAGGAGCAACAGATATGCTCCAATTATGCTCCGAACATTTAAACAAGTCCAAGCATAGGGCGTGTGCTAATTTGCGGAATGCGTTTATACTAGAAATGAAAACAATTCGTACAACTGATAAACTAGATTTGTCTCTGAACTTGGCCCAAGGCTGGCGTTCACCATTCGAAGTTCCTATCAAACGGGCCAGTGTCTAAATAGCCATACCTGGATCGATTCAGTCTTCGGCTGTTGTCAAATATGTTAACGAGTCGACAAGCAAATATCTATCTACAATGTTTATCCTGGCTGGCATTGGGAAACCACGTACAAGACTGTTTCTGCAATTTGCTACGTACTACTAACGTATTTGGTAAAACTAGGTACAACAGTCTTAGCACGCGGACTGCGTCTACCTGCGATTTTTAGGAAGGTCCACACGATTAGGTCGGTCTATTGCTCGCGACCAATTAAGAATCACCAAGGACGTCGAACCGGTGGTGTGCGATAGATAAACATATGGAACTTGGACTTTATTTACATATAATTAATATTCAAACCGCAAAATGTTATACATACAGTGTATAACTATATCTCACAAAGTGTTACCGTGTGGTGCTAATAACGGTAAGTAGTTAAGTCACAAATCCCAACAAACATCATTAATCACTGGTCCTTTCTCGCATTGTTCCTCAGCTATCGCTCTGAATATTCTAGTCGTGTCGGTTTTCACGTAGACTTTATCTTTAAAGCATCCGCAAAAAAGAAGTCCGTTGGCGCTAGGTCTGGAAAACGGGCGGGATCTTCTATGAGACCTCTTCGCCCAACCCATATGTCTGAAATATTCTCATCAAGATGTGCTCTTGCATTACAATGAGTGCTTCGCCCTGCTGGAAATAAAATTCTTCATCTTCAGTAAAGCTTTCTCAATACAAATAATTGGCACCGGTGTACACACTTAGGACACTCTGTACATATATATAGATGAAGTATCGAAAAAAATGTACACTTTGTTCAAGTTGAACGTCTCCAAAAGGTGTCAATGAAGAGCAAATGAAAGCCAGCGGCTGAAAGACTTCACAGCGGACGGTCTACTGGTATTTCACGTAATTTCGGTGAATCGTCCAATCGGCGAATAACAGCTCAGCTATTGCTTGCTGGTTATGTTACATAGATGTGATTGGCCGTTTGCAGAAAAAGGTGCTGTTCGAAAAGCGCGCCAACAACAGAATGACACCTTTCCTTTTCGAATGTGTCAGAATATTCCGCCACAGTCCGTTCGGCCAATTTCGTCTCATATTTGTGCTTATTTTTGGGGTGCTACAGTAGAAAATGGCCAGATCAAGTTTACAGACAGATAAAGATGTACCAGCCACTGTGTTACGGGGACAGATCGGATTACTCAAGTAGCTAGGTAGGTAGGTTGGTGTTAACCTAGCGGGCTGTCGCGCAGCTCACTGCGTTAGGCAAAAAGCCACTGATTGCGAGAATTATATGAGTGTGTAGTGCCTGTTCGTCTGGCCGAATAAATGACGCAGTAAAAACGCGATGGGACGCACGAAAAAGAATCCTTAGACAGGCGGAACTGCCAACTTGGGATTCTCCCAAGGATGCAAACCTTAAACGAAAGAATAGTCTCATTGGAAATCATTGTTTCCCATTGAATGCCCATCTGCTATCATGACATCGACAATAATGACATTTGTTAAGATGCCACTAAACAGAGAGCTCTAGGTAATAAGTCAGTTATTTAACCGTTAGTCAGTAGTGGCTGGTGGTGATGGTTAACGATAGACTCGGCCGTTTTTGATACGTCATTTCGTAAGAGGTGTTCCTGGGCATTTCGGTAAAGCTAATAGCAACTCCAAGGTTATCTATAGCCTGTACAAGCTCTCTTTCATCGAGAGGAAACACTGAAGAACACGTCTCACCGGGGACTCCTAATGGAACTGAGATAGCTGTGGTTGACAATAGTTGCGAAGCAAAGAACGAGCAGTCTTTGATGCCAATCGATCAAAGCGTATCCAAAGCGTGATGAGAGCCCACGGAGACGTTAGGGTGTTGAGGTACGCCTCGGTTGTACCTCACCTAACGAATGACAATGCGACTTCAGGAATGTGACAGAGGCAACAATGAGAAAGTGGGCAAAATGAACAAAAACAAAAGCAAGGTGTTGAATGGTACTTTCGGGTAGTGTCATATTATTATGGGTAGCCCCTTACTTCATCTTTTTTCTAAGTGTATCTCTATCCAGTGCTGAAGAATAAGGTAATCAACTGAAGTAACCATCAAGCATTGCAGAAGGTGCTTCGGTGTTCTGCGACGTGTGGCAAGATGTAGCCTTTAGCCCACTGGGATAACTGCATTATTTTATTCCTATGAAAGAAAACAATTAGTTTGCTTAATAATTGCTTTCAGTTTAACGTTACGTTATAAGCATAAATGACTACTAGGTTGCTATCTAAGCTCACCAAAAAGTGAGGCCAAGTACCGGGCGTTATATTTTAGTATGTTGTATTTATTACGCTCTCTTCAATTGATTACTATTATTGTTAAACTGTGATTCACCAACGGTAACAGTAAAGCCGGAATCTAAATTGATCGAACAATATCGGGTATAAAAAAGACTATTGAAAATTGGTCTTATGAATAATTGTTAAACTCGCGCGCCAGAATCTAGGATCACGGTCACTTGAGGCTTCAATGTGTGACTTTTGCAAGCAATTACCGATTCAGGGGACAGAATGATTCAGATGAACTTATAATCTATTCATTTGCATGACGACTAGCGCGGGTTGGGATATGCTGCATACGAAGCACAAATGCACGGTCATACATTTACATTCGTTCATCTTTAACAAAAATAAATTCACACAGCAGACGTATTTGTCGCAAAGAATAGGGGAAAAAAACCAACTCCACCACAGTTGATACTGCTGGCAGTTGCTCCACTGATAGGATATATATGTCTGAATATTTTTCTAGAATACGCAATTACCCGACTTTTTAGTAACGTTCGCCGACAACGATTTCTAGACGCACCTTCTTATAAACAAAGTTATCTAACAGATGTGTTAAAATCATTTATATTATTATGGGGAACGAGAAACTCTGTGAACGAAGACAAATCGAATTTGTTTACCATCTTTTTTAATCGGAGACCAGCTTGTTACTTTTCTATGTGCTAAAGTTAAAAGACCAAACGAACAGGCATCACCCCACTGTACATGACACCGTTGATTGAATAGGCACAAGCGAGACGGTAAATATATCGTACCATATTATAGTGACGGATCCTTTATATAAAAAATAGAAAATAGCAGTAGCGAATGGTTCCTCTCCCCCCGAGCGTTCTTAGATAGCCGCCAATAAAAAAATAGTAATTTCATATCCAACAGACATTCGTAAGGCACGCGCAGTATTTATTTTACTGCCGTTACAATGGGCTGGCCAAGACGAGAGAGGAGTTAGTTTCCCATAATTCCTATTCTTGTTTTGCTATTTTTGATTCTGAGCGTCGCCCCCTCAAAACAGGTGCTTGGTTCGTTGATTAGCAGACGCTTTTTGCGAAATGACGCCTTCGGTTGTTCTACTGTCCTGTCAATCTATCAACAGTTACGTATGTGTTTTCCACTTTTCTTTGATATTGCTGTTGATAATGTTCCTGTATTCCTATATGATATAACCACGGTCGTCCATACGACAGTCTTCGGGTTAACGACTCGAGTGGGTTTCGGCTTTCCAGCATGATGTGAGGTGATCACCCGAATGAT